AGTGCCTTCTGACCTCCTCAGCCGGCTGCAGGAAATACATGGGGCAGCGGGGTCCCCCAGGTTTCTTAGGGGAGCCACAGAGAGAAGGGCTGAAATGTTCTCCTAACTCCCCAGCGTCCTTCTCGTCAAACTGCACACTCTTTCCAGAGCTTCACTGGCCACCGCCCTCCCTCTCCTCCCTCCACTCCTGCCAGCCAGGCCTCACCTGTTCCTGCTTCAATGCCTTTGCTGGTCCCCCTGCCCAGTGCTCGGTCCCAGATCCCCTCGAAGCTGGCCTCGATTCCACACGAGCAAATCCGTCGGCTTCTGAGTCACACTGGCCTCGGCAGAGGCCTGGGACTCCGAGCCTCATAATCTTTTTTTTTTTTTTTTTTTTCTCTTTGAGAAAGAGTCTTGCTCTGCAGTCCAGGGTGGAGCACTGGAATGCAGTGGCGCCATCTCGGCTCATTGCAACCTCCGCCTCCCAGGTTCAAGCAACTCTCCTGCCTCAGCCTCCCGAGTAGCTGCGATTACAGGCACGTGCCACCACGCCCGGCTAATTTTTGTATTTTTAGTAGAGACAGGGTTGCATCATGTTGATCATGCTGGTCTCGAACTCCTGACCTCGTGATCCGCCCGCCTCAGCCTCCCAGAGTGCTGGGATTACAGGCGTGAGCCACCGAGCCCGGCCTTTGTTTTTTCTGCTGTTGTTCTTTTGAGACAGGATCACTTTTGTGATGCAGCTTTATCTTCTGTGTAGGGAGCACGTGTCTGAAATTACTTGATCCACTTCTTCCTAGAGGGTTATAAGCTCTGAGCGGGCAGGGACTCGGGGGCTGGTGTCTGTCACTTCTGTGTCCCCAGCCTCAGCGCAGGCCAGGCGTCTCTTACATACTGGTTGAATGAATGAATGAGCCCACGAATACATGAATGAATGGGGTATCAGTTCTTCCTTCCAGTCTGCGCCTGAACAAGGTCTTAACTTTTTTGCTCAGACCTCTGACCCAGCCTGATCTGTGTCGCGGGGTTTGGCCCCCGTGTCCCCACCCAAATCTCAGGTTGAACTGCAGTCCCGTGTTGGAGGAGGTACCTGGTGGGAGGCGGTTGGATCATGACCGTGGATTCCTCATGAATGGTTTAGCGTCACCCCTCAGTCCTGTCTCGTGATAGAGTTCTCGCGAGATCCCGTTGAACCTTCACGAGTGGTTTAGCACCACCCCTCGGTCCTGTCTCATAATAGAGGTCTCGCGAGATCCTGTTGAACCTTCACGAATGGTTTAGCACCACCCTTCAGTCCTGTCTCGTGATAGAGTTCTCGCGAGATCCCGTTGAACCTTCACTAATGGTTTACCACCACCCCTCCGTCTTGTCCCGTGACAGAGTTCTCACAGGATCCCATGATCATACACGAAAGGCTTAGCACCACCCCTCAGTCCTGTCTCTGACAGAGTTCTCGCGAGATCCCATTGATCCTTCACGGAAGATTTAGCAACACCCCTCCATCCTGTCTTGTGACAGAGTTCTCGCAAGATCCCGTTGACCCTTCACGAGTGGTTTAGCACCACCCCTCGGTCCTGTCTTGTGATGGAGTTCTCGCGAGATCCCATTGAACATTCAGGAATGGTTTAGCACCACCCCTCGGTCCTGTCTCCTGACAGAGTTCTCGCGACATCCCGATTAACCTTCACGAATGGTTTAGCACCACCCCTCAGTCCTGTCTTGTGACAGAGTTCTGGAGACATCCCGTTGATACTTCAGGAAAGGCTTAGCACCACCCCTCAGTCCTGTCCTGTGACAGAGGTCTCGCGAGATCCCGTTGACCCTTCACGGAAGGTTTAGCACCACCCCTCAGCCCTGTCTCGTGATAGAGTTATCGTGAGATCCCGTTGACCCTTCACGAATGGTTTAGCACCACCCCTCAGCCCTATCTCGTGATAGAGTTCTCGCGAGATCCCGTTGATCCTTCACGGAAGGTTTAGCACCACCCCTCGGTCCTGTCTTGTGACAGAGGTCTCGCAAGATCCCGTTGACCCTTCTCCAAAGGTTTAGCACCACCCACTCAGTCCGGTCTGGCATAGAGTTCTCGTGAGCCTTCAGGAAAGGCTTAGCACCACCCCTCAGTCCTGTCGCGTCATAGAGTTCTCGCGAGATGCTGTTGAACATTCACGAATGGCTTAGCACCACCCCTCAGTCCTGTCTTGTGCTAGAGTTCTCGCGATATCCCATTGACACTTCACGAAAGGCTTAGCACCACCCCTCAGTCCTGGCCCGTGATGGAGTTCTCGCGAGATCCTGTCGACCCATCACTGAAGGTTTAGCACCACCCCTCAGCCCTGGCTCATGATAGAGTTCTCGCGAGATCCCGTTGAACCTTCACGAATGGTTTAGCACCACCCCTCAGTCCTGCCCTGTAATAGAGTTCTTGCGAGTTCTCGCGAGATCCCTTTGAACCTTCAGGAGTGGTTTAGCACCACCCCTCGGTCCTGTCCCGTAATAGAGTTCTCGTGAGATCCCATTGATCCTTCACGGAAGGTTTAGCACCACCCCTCAGTCCTGTCTCGCGAAAGAGTTCTCGCGAGATCCCGTTGATCCTTCACCAAAGGTTTAGCACCACCCACTCAGTCCGAGCTGGCATAGAGGTCTCGCGAGATCCCACTGTTAAAAGGTGTGTGGCTCCTCCTCCCCACCCTGGTGCTCCTGCTCCAGCCAAGTCACCTGCCTGCTCCCTTCTGTCTTGTGCCGTGACTGTAAGTCTCCTGCGGCTGCCGCAGAAGCAACTGCTGCCTTGCTTCCTGTACAGGATGTGGAACCATGAAACAATTAAACCAATTAAACCTCTTTTCTCCATCAATTACCTGTCTCAGATATTATTATGATTAGAGTTTCACTCTTGTCGCCCAGACTGGAGTGCAATGGCGCAATCTCGGCTCACCGCAACCTCCGCCTCCTGGACTCAAGCGATTCTCCTGCCTCAGCCTCCCAAGTAGCTGGGATTACAGGCGTCCGCCACCACGCCCGGCTAATTTTTGTATTTTTAGTAGAGACGGGGTTTCGCCATGTTAGCCAGGCTGGTCTCGAACTTCTGACCTCAGGTGATCCGCCCGCTTCAGCCTCCCAAAGTGCTGGGATGACAGGCATGAGTCACTGCACCCAGCCTGGGTATTTCTTTATAGTATTGTGAGAATGGACAAATGCAGTCCCCTCTGCCCCAACACCACTGAGCCCTGCAAAGAAATTGCCCAAGTTCACACAAAGTCCAGCTGTGAGGATGTCCCCAGCTAATGTGAACAGAGTGAATCTGGAAACGGAGGCCCTAAAAAGAAGCCAAACAAGAAATCTCCAAGCACAGTCCAAGATGGAACCTGCCTCACCTCCCGTGATGCATGTCCTCACCCCGCCCCCTCCACCTCCCCACCACCATCCCATCCCTCACTTCCTCCGCCTGTCACCTCCTCCACCCTCCATCCCATCCCTCACGTCCTCCACCTGTCACCTCCTCCACCCTCCATCCCCGTCCTGCACCTCTGGATCCTTTGCAGGTGGTGAGCTGACACCCCACCCCCAGCACAGAGACAGGGCGCCACGGTGGTCAGGAATGCAGGATCCACTTCTTTATTGCAGAAAGACTATGTCTAGAGCAAAGGCTACACAGACCCCATGATGGGGGGTGGGGGCACCCACATGCAGGGGGCGAGGGGGCAGGGGTGGGTCACAGCAAACGTGGCCTGGCACAGTCCCCAGCACCAGGGATGCCCAGGCAGGACGGGCCAGCGGCCAGGGCAGGCTCGGACACCCCTCCTATGGCAGATCCCCTCTCTCCCCAGGGTCAGGGCAGGGCCTGGGGTGGGAGAGGCCTAGATGTGGGCAGGGCCCCAGGGAGATTGTGCTATCAGGGTGTGTCCCTGAGAAAGGGCCGCAGACCCCTGCCCAGCCTCACTCTCTCCAGCACCTTCAGAGCCCAGAAACCACTGCCAGGGCAAGAGAGGAGGCGACGTCAGCTGCTGGTGGGCCCTGGGCCAGCCCAAGTGTTGGGGGGACCCAGCTCTGCTCAGACAAGATGCCAGCTCTTCTGGGAGCCCCGGTCCACGCGCTGGATAGCAACTCACATGCACGCACGCACAATCCCTCTCTCTGAGTGTGTCCAGTAAACATTTGTTGAGTAAACACTCACATGAACACAGAGGAAAACAAACATGCTAGTACCAAGTCAGACACGAGCAATCTGTTACCTACATAGTCCCACCTGGCCACATGACTACAGAGACACAGGTGTGCACGCTCTCTCTCTGTCTCTCTCTCTCTTTCTCTACAAAAATACATGCGCACACACACACACACACACAAACACACTGCTTCCTCACACACAGTAAGACCAACATCTCCACCTCACCTTCCCTGGCTGACTTACCTGCTGTGTTCTGAGCCCCTCTATGGAGAGACCCATGTGACATGGATCAAAAGGCAGCTTCCAGCCAACAGCCAGCAAGGAACCGAGGTCCTCAGTCTTGCAACAGCAAGGAACTGAATGCTGCAACAACCACATGAGCTTGGAAGAAGCAGATCCTTCCCTGGTCAGGTCTTCAGATGAGACCTCTGCCTGGCCCATGCTTTGATTGCAGCCTTCTGAGATTCCCAAGTAGAGGACCCTGCAAACCTGCACCCAGGCTCTTGACCCACAGAATCTATGAGATAAGAAACGTGTCGTTTCTGGTTGCTACGTTTGTGGTCATTTGTGGGGATTTTTGGTTGGTTGGTTGTTTTTGAGAGACAGAGTCACTCTGTTGCCCAGGCTGAAGTGCAATGGCGCGATCTCAGCTCACTGCAACCTCCACCTCCTGGGTTCAAGCCATTGTCCTGCCTCAGCCTCCCAAGTAGCTGGGATTACAGGCGCCTGCCACCACACCCAGCTAATTTTTTGTATTTTTAGTAGAGACGGGTTTCACTGTGTTAGCCAGGATGGTTTCGATCTCCTGACCTTGTAATCCACCTGCCTCGGCCTGCCAAAGTGCTGGGATTACAGGCATGAGCCACCAGGTCTGGCCAATTGTGGTCATTTGTTACACAGCAATAGCTGACTGATACCAATTTGGGACTGAAAATCACATTGCTATAGAGTCACGCTACTATAGAGTAGGACAGAAATTGTGTTTCTCAATCAGGACAAACACAGTAACAGGTAAATGCTCTCTCAGATAAGCCATATCACCCACTCCCAAAAATATAGTCATGCTCATAGAGGCACAAAGAGTCACACAGACACATCAGAAGTATCCAGTCTTGTTGACAACCACACACCTCTTGTTGACTACCCACCTCTCCGTATACCCTACACCACTAGTACACACACAGAGTACCACAAAAACATACCGTCCCGACAGACACACACAGGTGCACTTAGATGCAAGTCACCCATCCACAAACCCCAGGCTGCACAAATACACCATTCCCCGTGTATGTCGGACACAGCCCTGTGGGGTCACATGAGTGTAGGGTGGTTCAGACCCTCTCACAAAAACACCCAGAACCTCACGGCTGCAGATTCCCCCTGACTCCAGGACACCACCTTTCTGGGCGGGCCCTGCTCTCTGGGGCACGGGTGGAGGGGAGGCAGTGGGCGGAGCAGACTTCTACCTGGAGCCCCCTTGGATTCCGCTGATGTGGGGTCCCATCGGCTGTCCCCTCACGGGGGTGTCATTGATGTCTCTCTGGCCAGAGCCCCAGGTACCCCCTCCCGAGCACCCCAGGACCCCACCCACCACACGTCGCTAATGTCTCTGTCTCGGTGAAAGAGGCAGGTCCCGGGTGGGCGGTGTCTGGGAAGCCCCTCCACGTCCACGGTGCCTCCCGGTGGGGCAGTTGTGCTGCGGCTGTGGCTGTGGCCGGTCCCAGGGGTGGGATTCGGAGCTGGCAGGGGCAGTGCTGCAGGCCCTGTGGTTATTGCCTGGTGGCCTGAGGCCCATCCCGCGGGCCCCACGTCCCCGGTGTGACAACAGGGGAGAGGGGGGCGTTCTGGGACCGGAGGTGGGGGCAGGGCACAGGTGAGAGGTCATGAGGGGCCGGGTGGGCTCGGGTGTATGTCAACACCAAATAGGAGGAGAAAGAAAAAAATAATCTGAGGCTAATGTGCATTTTGAACTCCCCCCTCCCCTGGAAGGTCACAGTGATCAAATGTGGGGGACGGGGACCCACAGGTCTCGTGCGGACGCCCCAGGGAAAGAGATGGAGATGGGGAAACGCAGCCTCCTCTGGTCCCGGCGGGAACGAGGAGCTCCTCTTGCCGGCTCCTGGTCCCCTTTGCCCATCTGCAGGACAAGGGGGCCACCTCCGGCTCTTGGTTTGGGGGGTACAGACAGAACAGGAGGGTGGAGAAGAGAGAGCGGGGCAGGAAGAAGAGCCTCGGCCCTGCCTCGGGGCGGCCAGGGGCAGCGGAGAGGGAGCAGCCTCAGTTTCCCCAGCCGAGGTGTCGGTGGAAGGATGAGAGGAGAGGAGGAGGCAGGAGGGGGTGTCGGGGGAGGCGGCGGGGGGCCGGGGCCGGTGCGGGCGGGCGGCGGGCAGGCGGGCGTTCCGGGCTCACATGAGGGTGCATTTGCCCTTGACGCGGTCTGTCCTCTTCTGCTTCCCGGAGCGCTTGCCGTCGATGTTGAGGCTCATGTTCCGGCGGGTCTCCAGCGTCAGCAGCTCCTGGAAGAGCTCCTTCACGTTGTAGTTCATCTTGGCCGAGGTCTCCATGAAGGCGCACTTCCACTCCTGGGCCACCGCCTGCGCCTCGCGCGTGTCCACCTCCCGCTGCGTCTCGTCGCACTTGTTACCCACCAGCATCACGGGGATGTCCTCCACGCTGCCCTTGATCTGCACGATGAGCTTGTAGATGGGGCCCAGCTCCTCCAGCGACTGCTTGCTGGTGACCGAGAACACCAGGATGAAGGCGTGGCCCTTGGAGATGGAGAGGCGCTGCATGGCCGGGAACTGGTGGCTGCCCGTGGTGTCTGTGATCTGCAGCGTGCACACGCTCTTGTCGCAGCTGATCACCTGCCGGTAGGTGTCCTCGATGGTGGGGATGTAGGTGTCTCGGAACGTGCCCTTCACGAAGCGCAGCACCAGCGAGCTCTTGCCCACGCCGCCCGCCCCGAACACCACCACGCGGTAATCGTTGCTCTGCTCTGGCATCTTTCCCGCGGCGGGTTGGGGGCCGGGGCCGGGAGGGCTGGTGCCGGCTGCGAGAACCCCAGACCGAGCCTGTGCGGAGAGGAGGGTCAGACGTAAAAGGCCACCCAGCCTGGAGGGGACAGCCCCACATCCCCAGTAAGGGAGGAGGAGGACAGGGCGGCTTCTCGGAGGAGGTGGCTGTCGTGCCTCCTGCGTCCCCGAAAAGGCTCCATCTGCTCGCCTCGGCTGACTTTGCAGTCCCATCCCGCGGGCGGGCGCACAGCCAGCACCCTTTGCTTACTTCCCCCTGACAAAATCTGGGGCCTGAGCTTCCCCGGCGGATGCTGAGCTACAAGAGGCATGGGAGATGCCAGGAAGCCCACGAAACCCCTTTCCCAGGTTCGGGCGTCCCTTCCAGGCTGTGCTGGCCTCCCCCAGGCTAGCAGGCCTGGCTTTCACCTCTCGCTGCACACCCGCCTGGCTCTGAGAGCCTGCTGACTCGTCCTGCCACCCCGAGCCTGTCTGGTGCCTGTCTCCACCAACCATGGGTTCCTGCTCTTCCCCCAACCTAGAGACGGCTAACCCTCGTGAGAGCCGCCCGTGGTGGGTGTCAGGTGTCAGGCCTGCAGCCCTAGCTGTGACGAACATGATGAGTTGGCCTGTAAGGGCTATAGACTTGGGAACTCATATTATTATTCTCGCTCTTTTTTTTTTTTTTTTTTGAGACGGAGTTTCGCTCTTGTTACCCAGGCTGGAGTGCAATGGCGGGATCTCGGCTCACCGCAACCTCCACCTCCTGGGTTCAGGCAATTCTCCTCCCTCAGCCTCCTGAGTAGCTGGGATGACAGGCACGTGCCACCACGCCCAGCTAATTTTTTGTATTTTTAGTAGAGACGGGGTTTCACCATGTTGACCAGGATGGTCTCTATCTCTTGACCTCGTGATCCACCCGCCTCGGCCTCCCAAAGTGCTGGGATTACAGGCTTGAGCCACCGCGCCCGGCCTCTTCTCACTTTTTTAAGACCAAGTCTCACTCTGTGATCCAGGCTGGAGTGCAGTGGTGCGATCTCAGCTCACTGCAACTTCTGCCTACTCAGTTCAAGCAATTCTCCTGCCTCAGTCTCCCGAGTGGCTGGGACTATAGGCGTCTGCCACCATGCCCAGCTAACTTTTTTCTTTCTTTCTTTTTTTTGAGACGGAGTCTCGCTCTATCACCAGGCTGGAGTGCAGGGGCAAGATCTCAGCTCACTGCAACCTCCACCTCCTGGGTTCAAGCGATTCACCTGCCTCAGCCTCCTGGGTTCAAGCAATTCACCTGCCTCAGCCTCCTGAGTAGCTGGGATTATAGGTGTGTGCCACCACAGTAGGCTAATTTTCATATTTTTAGTAGAGACAGGGTTTCATCACCTTGGCCAGGATTGTCTTGATCTCCTGACCTTGTGATCTGCACCTTAGCCTCCCACAGTGCTGGAGTTACCGGCGTGAGCCACTGTGCCTGGCCAATTTTTGTATTTTTAGTAGAGACGAGGTTTCACCATGTTGGCCAAGCTGGTCTTGAACTCCTGACCTCAGGTGATCCTCCTGCCTGGGCCTTCCAAAGTGCTGGGATTCCAGGCGTGAGCCACCATGTCCAGCCGGAACTTGTATTTTTTCAAGCTGTTCTCCCCGCCATAAATGGGGTCCTGAGGCTTGGAGTCCAATAACCACAACTGGAAAATCAGGGCACCGATTCCCAATAGCAGCCCCAGGGAGGCAGGCCCCTGCAGCCCAGGTGACCCGCCAGAACACAAAACTAGAAACTGAACAGGAAAATCCCCGCTCCCTAAACTCTAAAACCAAACTGTGGCCTGGTGTGCCCCAGGGCCTGCCCTCCCGTTTAGGTCTGATGGATCCTTAGGAATAGCGCTCCCTGCCGGGCGCGGTGGCTCAAGCCTGTAATCCCAGCACTTTGGGAGGCCGAGGCGAGTGGATCACGAGGTCAAGAGATCGAGACCATCCTGGTCAACATGGTGAAACCCCGTCTCTACTAAAAATACAAAAAGTTAGCTGGGCGTGGTGGAACGTGCCTGTAATCCCAGCTACTCAGGAGGCTGAGGCAGGAGAATTGCCTGAACCCAGGAGGCGGAGGTTGCGGTGAGCCGAGATCGCGCCATTGCACTCCAGCCTGGGTAACAAGAGCGAAACTCCGTCTCAAAAAAAAAAAAAAAAAAAGGAATCGCGCTCCCTGGGAGGGGGGTCCTCTTAGACCCTCTCTTCTCTCTTGGGCTCAGAGGGATCCAGCAGCCTCAGGAGGTCACTCAGCACAGCAGATCCTGAAAGGATGGAGGTGGGGGAATAACCCTGGGGGGAGGGCAGGTGGCTTTTCTCCAGAATCGATATCCTCCCCTCCCCTTCCTCCTGCTTCCAGTCTCCGGGGGGCAGGGGGTCCCCCAGCAAGGTATTCTACAGTGGAAGAGAAGGAGGCCCCAGTTTCCACCCCCTGCACTTGGGGTGGGGGTGTGTTTATGGGGAGGGTGCCGTGGCTGCCTGGGACTCAGCGGTTTGAACCTAAACAGGCAAATTCAAGTCCCTAAGCCTCTGTTTTCTCTTCTGTGAAATTCGAGCCACTGTTGCGACAGGTAAGGTGACAAGATGGAAAGGGGCATAGGCCGTGGCCGGTACAGCGGAGACCCCATCACTATTGTGATCACAATCGCTGTGCCAGTTGGTTGCAAAGGCACCTTCTGGATGATGAAGGGTAAGAGATTTGCCAGAAAAAGAAAACAGGATGATGAAAGCCTCAGCTGACAGCCCGCAGTTGTGATGAGCCAGGCAAACTTCTGGGCGCCTGGGCAATGCTAACTCATGTGATTGGCTGCCGGGTTTGTGGACTACATGCATAGTAATTCATTCGGAGGAGGCTGGGGGTGCTGGGGAGGAGGGGAGGGAGGCGGCCGGCTCTGCAGACCCTGCCCTTCCCTGGGTGGGTACCCCGAGAGGCAGGCACGCTGGCTGCCCTGAGGAGACACGCCACCAAGACGGGCCTGGGGTCCTGATGGCCGTGGCTTCTGTGGCCCCGGACCCAGGCTTCGCCTTGCTGTGGACACTTAAGCTCCAGCCTCGTCAGCGGCACTGTCCTCCCCACCAGCCCCGCTGGGTCTGGAATCCCTGGCTAGGATGCGCTTCCCGAAGCCCACGCCACCTCCACCTCCTCCTCCTCCTGGGGGTTGCAGGTGGAGGGAGAGGGTCCTGGGCACCGAGGCAGGAGCCGGAGGGGCTGGCTCAAGGTCACAGAGCAGGGGGGTGAGGGCGCACAGCAGGACTGGAAGCCCCTCTTGCTTGGCTACACTCCCGGTTTCCCACCTGTGCGGGGCAGCCCACCCCCAGACACCCAGGCTGGGCCAACCCACCCCAGCCCTGGCTCCTGGCCGGCCGCGGAGTGGTGGGGGGAGAGGACCGGGGTGTCAAAGCCAGCCCAGGGTCAGAAAAGCAGAGAGAGCCACGACCCAGGAACCTATGGGGGGGCCCCCCCTGACCAGGGTGGGGAGGGGGTCTCACCCACCACCGCCTGACCCGGGTGAAGGGTTTGATGGGGAAAGGGCCTGTTCTGGGGGGGCCGAGGGCGCAGAGGCACAGTGCGGGGCCAGCCCGGGGGCGCCCCTGCACTATCGAGGACCTCCGTGGTGGGGAGGAGGAGCCCACCCCGGGGAGGGGGCGCCGAGGGAGGGGCCTGGCTGGGCAGCGGGGCGGGGGGCTGAGTGGGTGAGCAGCTGCGGGAGACAGGAGGCCCTGCTGGGGGGCCCCGATGCGGAGAGGGGCGGCTATGGGGGGGCCTCGGCGGGGTCGGGGGGCTCCGGGTAGGGGAGGGGAGGCGGCGGGAGCTGTGCAAGGTGAGCCGCGGAGGGGAGGGCGGGATGGGGCGGGGGGGCCCCGGATCCCGGCGGGGAGGAACCGGCCCCGGGTCTCGGGAGGGTGCGGCCGGGACAAAGGAGGGGCGCGCGGCGGGGAGGACGCCGGCGAGGGGGTGGCTGCGCAGGGACCCCCGCTCCGCCCCGCCCCGGGCCGCCTACCTGGACCCGCTGGTCCCTGCGGCGCGGCGGCCGCTGCTCCTACCCGCTCCGGTGTCCGCTGGCGCCGCCGCCCCCCGCCCGCCCGAGCCGCCGCAGTCGCGCCCGCGCCGTCCCCGCCCCGCCGCGCTCCGCCCCGCCCCGCCCCGCCCCGGGGACCCGAGCCCACGGGGCCCGCGCAGCCACCCGGCCAAGGTCACCGCCGCCACCCGCGGGACCCCGGGCTGCACCCCGCCACCACCACCACGTCCCTCTGCCCGCTCCCCGCTTGGGGGTGGGGGGGGAAGTCGCCAGGACCCGGGCCCCCCGCGCTGCCACGTGGCCACCGGAGCCCTCCCTGCGGGTGGGAGTGGGGCCGCTTCCCGGGAAGCCCCAAGTGGGAGTCTGAAGCCCGGGTCGGGAGGAGCGGAGTCTAGCCGGGGACGGGGGGGGGGCGGGGAGGGGGGAGGCTTTGGCGGAACTGCGGATGAACGGGGTGCAGAATGGGACCCCTGAGGCCGGCTAGGGTGGAGGCACACGCAGGGCGGGGAACCGGAGGGGTGCGCTGTGAAAGCGATTAAGTCAATAATCCACAATCAACGAGCAGGTGTGGAAGCGGGCAGGGGCGGAGGGTTCAGGTCAGTGGCTTGCACCTGGAGGCCCACCCATCCCAGGGGCCTGGGCAGGGGCGGGATGCGGACAGAAGCACCCCTCAGCACCCTGGTTTTGGGAGTGAGGGCAGCCCACGGAAGTCAGGCCTAGGGGGGTAGGGGATGAGCAAAGGGGCAGGTGCTCTCTGCCGGGAAGGGGTTTGCAGCTTTCGGTTAGAAAACTGCATTCCCCAAACAAGAGACGTCTTAGGGGAGCATTGATTTTTCTGACCTGTCTGTGTCCACAAGAGACTATGGGCCCCCCTCCATTTTGGAGACCCGAGGCTGAGGTTCCATTTGACCTCACCTGGGCAGATCCCAGAGGAGACTGGACTTTGGGGTGCGGTGACCAGGCCGGAAGGTGTTTTCGAGGGTGGGTGCTGGACAGTTCCAGGCCTCCAGGATGTTGGAAGAAGGCGCCCCTTGGTGGATAGGCCAACCCTCGGGCCCATAGGGGACTCTCTGAAGTCAGAGCAGTCCGTGGGTGAGAGGCTGGTCTGGTCTGGAACCCCTGTGAGCAGGTGCTGCAGCCCACGGAACCCCTTGGGCCCTCAGCTCCTGGGTTCTCCATGACCCACCATTTCTGTGGCCTCGGAGACTTGGCACTGCCCGAAGACCACCCAGTCCCCTCTCCTGTCACCACCGAGGCTGAGGCACTGAGGTTACTGTGGCTTTGGGGCTCAAAGAGCTCTATTTCTCCCTGCTTTGACCCCGCTCCCCCTGTCCCCGGCCTCCAGACCCCCTTCCTCCAGCCCTCCTTCAACTCTGCCATTCAGTGCTCCAGCTGGAACATGGGCCTCCCCTGCTCTAACGCCACCCATGGCTCCCTTCTTCCAGGTCAAGGTCCAGCTTCTCAGCCTGGCATCCATGGCCCGGCCTGAGTGCTCTGGGGATGCACCTCCCTCCTGCCCTGACCCCGGCCCCACAGGAGCACCTCAGAGGGAGGCCCAGCCCCATCTGGGGTGCCCTCAGCCGGAGACAGAGACAGCCCTGGGGGCAAACAAATCCCAGCTTCTGCTGTAGGTCCCTGCCTCCAGGGAAGTGCCCTCCCGAGCCTCGGTTCCCTGGTCCGTCAGTGAGGTCACTGTTGCCCGCCTGGAGGGTTGCTGGGAACACACGGGCAGGGGGCCCACCCACGTGGGGCTGCTGGGCACCCAAGCACTCAGACGGCAGCGCAGCGCCTTCCCGGTCCACCTGCCTGCCTTGGTCTCCCGAGTGACCCACCAGCTCCGGGCAGGGCCTCGGGCCGGCCCCCTGGCTCCTCCGGGCACCAGCTCAGGCCGGGGCAGGCTGACTCATGCGTAGGAGAGTGGGCAGGGCAGTAACCACGCTGCGGCTGCTATTTATAGCTCCCAGACCAGGCTGTGGGCTGTGTGAGCCAGGGAGGCCAGGCCCTGTTCCCCTCCCGGCTGTCCCTGGGGACCAGGAGCTCCACCCCCGACCTGAGCACCCAAACCAGGACAGCAGGAGCTCCTCCCCGATGGCAGGCCGGGGAGCAGAGGGTTCGGCCTAGCCTTTGTGAGTGGGGGTGGGTGGGTGCCCCAGCTCTGCCTCTCCATCCTCCAAATATCGTGGGGATCCAAATATCCAAATGTCAGGAGCCAGGGCACCTGCACACCAGGGCACTGAGCAAGCCAGGACGGGCACCGGGGTCCCCTGGGCTCCCAGCTGCCTCTCATACCCCAGTCCCTCTTTGGAGAGTCCCTGAGCATCCTGAGAAGTACAGAGGTGGGCGAGGGAGGACTGAGGCCAGCTTCGTCTTTGCCAAGGAGAGGACCCGTCAACCTCTCCAGCTCCCAAGCTGGGCAGGGTCTGCAGGCGTCCACGCTGAATCTCCAGGGTGAACCCCCCGGGGGGCACTGCACATCTCCCACGAACACTGAGTGCCAGCGTAGCCAGTGCTAGGTCCTCAGGGGCCTGCACAAGGCCAGTGTCCCTGCTCCCATCTGGAAACTGCAGCTTGGAGAAGGGTAGGGCTTGCCGGGGCGGCCCAGTGGGGAAGAGGCCGGTCTGGACCCATCAGGCTCTGAAGCCACGGCCCAGCCTGCTGGGGACGGACGGCCAGCTCCTTGTGATCCTCTTGCCCTGTCCCTGGCTATCTGGGGGCTTGTCCCAGGGGCGGTCAGCCTGTCCTGCCTTACGGATCCCCTTTCAACAGAGCCGCAAGGGGCAGCGTTCATCTGCGACATCCCAGCTTTTCACCGGGCCCTGCAGCTCCACAGCTGCTCTCCTCACACTGCTGCCCTGGCCAGGGCCACACAGGCCTCACTGAGTCCCAGCTGGCCATGGGGGAGGAGGGCAGTGGGCTCCGGTCCTCAGGTGTCTTCAGTGGTCTTTGGACCACGTGGGCAAAGCTGAGGTTGCACATGCCGCCCTCAGAAGGCAGGGTCATCCCTGGGGCTCAGCCACACTGTTGCTTTTCAAGTTTGGCATCTGTCAACCTATCATCTATCAATCATCTATCAATTAATCATCTATATTTCATCTATTAATAATTATCAATCATCTATTAATCATTTATTATCAATCTATATATCATCTATCATCTATCAATCATCTACTTATCTGTCTATCTATCTATCTATCGAGACAGGGTCTCACTCCATCACCTAGGCTGGAGTGCAGTGGTGAGGTCACAGCTCAGCGTAGCCTTGACCTCCTGGGCTCAAGCAATCCTTTCTCCTCAGCCTCCCGAGTAGCTGGGACTACAGGCACACACCACCGGGCCTGGCTAATTTAAAAAAATTTGGGGGGCCAGGCGTGGTGGCTCATGCCTGTAATTCCAGCACTTTGGGAGGCTGAGGTGAGTGGATTACTTGAGGGCAGGAGTTCAAGACCAGCCTGGGCAACATGGTGAAAACCCATCTCTACTAAAAATACAAAAAAAATTAGCCGGGCTTGGTGGATCGCACCTGTAATCCCAGCTTCTTGGGAGGCTGAAGCCGGAGAATCACTTGAACCTGGGAGGCGGAGGTTGCAGTGAGCCAAGATTGCACCACTGCATTCCAGAGGCTGCACAAAAGAGCGAGACTGTCTTAAACAAATTCTGGGCCGGTTGCAGTGGCTCACGCCTGTAATCACAGCACTCTGGGAGGCCAAGGCGGGTGGATCATGAGGTCAGGAGATCGAGACCATCCTGGCCAACATGGTGAAACCCCGTTTCTACTAAAACATGAAAGACTAGCTAGGTGTGGTGGCGTGAGCCTGTAGTCACAGGCTGAGGCAGGGAAATCACCTGGACCCAAGCGGTGGAGGTTGCAGTGAACAGAGATTACACCACTGTACTCCAGCCTGGCAACTGAACAAGATTCCGTCTCAAAAAAAAAAAAAAAAAAAATTCTGTAGAGATGAGGCCTTATTATATTGCCCAGGCTGGTGGCATCAATATTTTAAAATACGGAGACCATTTGTCAAAACCATTTGCCTTCAAAGATGGAAGGGCTGGCATCCCCATGCCCATCTTTCTTACCCATCACCACTGCTCCCCTGGGCCCCAGGCCACCGTGGAATACCCACGCCTCACCGTTGAAGACCCATGCCTCACAGAAGCCACCTGCCTGGCCCCTAGAGCCACCACTGGGTTCCTCTTTAACATCAGGAGGCTACGTTTTTTTTTTTTTTTTTTGAGATGGAATCTTGCTCTGTCACCCAGACTGGAGTGCAGTGGTGGAATCTTGGCTCACTGCAACCTCCGCCTCTCAGGTACAAGTGATTCCCCTGCCTCAGCCTCCCGAGTAGCTGGGATTACAGGTGCCTGCCACCACACCTGGCTAATTTTTATATTTTCCGTGAAGACAGGGCTTTGCCATGTTGGCCAGGCTGGTCCAGAACTCCAGACCTCAGGTGATCCGCCCACCTCGGCCCCGCAAAGTGCTGGGATTACAGGCCTGAGCCCCCTCGTCTGGCAAGGGTGCTGTGTCAACCCCACTTCTTAGGAGTGGAGTTGTGAGTCTTTAGCACTGGCAGGATAAACCCCGGTAACACCCGAGTCTTCCCACAGAGAAGAAGCCACTCTGGTCATCAGAGAGAAAAGGCTGAGAACAAACCGCAGAGAGGCCCCAGGGCCTTTGCACATGCTGCTCCCTCAGCCAGACGAGCTTTCTCTCCCCGATCTCCTTCACACTCACTCCCCCCTGTCCCCCTCACACGTCATCCTGGAGCCCGCTCCTGACCACGGAGCTGAAATCATCTCCTTTTGCTCTCTCACGGTATCCTGATTTTCTTTTCAGGACATTTCTTGCTACCTGATACCATGTGACATGCTGGTGTTGGCTCCCTCTCCAGAATGTGAGCTGCCACCCAGGGGGTGATTCTGTCCCAAAGGGAGACTGCGAACTCTATGGGATCATCTGTGATTCTCAGGACTGGCAGGTGCTCCTGGCAGGGAGTGGGTGGAGGTCAGGGACGCTGCTCAGCACCCTGCAGTGCCCAGGACGGCTCCACTCCAGAGAAGCATCCGGCCCCAATGTCCACAGTGCCTGGGGAAGAA